GGTTTAGGGGTTTAGGGTCGAGGGTCTAGGGGCTTAGGGGTTTAGGGTCTATGGTTCAGGGTTTGGGGGTTTAGGGTCGAGGGTTTAGGGTTTAGGGGTTTGGGTATATAGGGGTGGGTTTATAGGGGAGGTAGGCTTCAGGGAAGATGAAAACTCGCCTCTGACGGAAGCGTTGAACCGAGCGGCCTAGGAATTTAAGACTTGCGCGTGGGCTTGCAAGGGGTTCCAGAAAGGTGCGTTTCCGAATTTAGAATTTGCATGGACCTGGAAAGGGGTTTATAAGACTTTTGACATGTAACCTAACGGAAGTTTGCAGCCTTGAAGCTTCTCGACTTGTGGGTTTAGGGCTTTGGGGTTTAGGGTGTGTAGGGTTTAGGGTGTTTAGGGTTTAGGGGGGTTCGGGTTTGGGGTTTCGGGGTTTAGCCTGAATCCACATCCTCTTGGGCAGAAGGCCTTAGTGTTGCAAGGCAGTGCTAGGGTTTAGGGTTTAGGGTTTAGGGTTTAGGGTTTAGGGTTTAGGGTTTAGGGCGGGATTTCGAAACTTTAAGTTGGAAACTAAAGCTCAATGTCCACTGAGTGCAGGTGGGCTTGAGCTGCACAGAAAGTAGACTTCTTCCCTAGTTCCTCAGCTGTAGCTGCAACTCTTAGTACAGTATCTGGAACCGCGCTTCTTTCTGTACTTGCAGCACAGGTATTTCCAATCCAAGCAGAACCCATAGGCCTAAGAGCGCCGAGGCATTGCCAGCTGCTAGCTGTTCAAGCCCAGCTGCCTGTACAGTAGTCTACTACATTTCACATGTATTATACTGTATACGTACATACATAGACACAATGTTACCTTTGAGTAGAAGTTGTGTGTGTGTGTTTATATATATATATATATATATATGTGTATGTATAGGTATGTATATGAATTTACCTACATGTACATGTACTATACAGGATACACAGTCCACAGCTGTATCGCCAAAGGTAGTGCCGTCGAACTGTGGGAAATTGGGATTCTGGTAAAAGTGCACAGTCTCCTCTGGCCGAGGTGTGTTGGGGTTGGGGTTCTGTCTAACGCGCAGCGCTGGTCAACAACCTGAAAGATACTAAGCATGCTCAACAAGTTGGCTTATGACTAGGGCTTAAGGGTTCCGTAAACCTTTTGTATTGTTGGCCTTGCCCCTTAAATCCTATAATATAGGGGCCTACATAATTGCCTGTACTATATATATACTGTTTTTTTGGGGGGGGTCCTTATGTATAACTCTAGTATAATGGGCCCCAAAACCCTATTCCAACTATTCAGGGCCCTAGATTAAGCGCTAAAGGTAAACGATAGAAACCTCAAGCTGGCTTTAGGCCTGATGTAGGGGCATTAATAATTGGAATGGGGTTTTGGGGCCCATTATACTAGAATTATAATAAGGAGCCCCCCCCAAAAAAAATGTATAGGTAATTATCAGGGCCCCTATATTACGGGCTTGGAGAGTGCTCGGAACCAATGGGTTTTTGCCTGCAGCCCCCAAAGCACAAGCTCAGAGCTTGGCTGGGATTTGGCCTTGCAATGTTAAGAGTTTGCTGGTTTTAGGATTGTTGGTTTCAGAAGATGCTGAAGCCCTGAGACAGAGGCTTGATAGATTAGAGAGCGGAGGGTGTGCAGCTAAGTCCATGGACGTGACCACGCTGGTCATGGAGGCGCGGGCACTGGCGGAAAATGGATTTCGGACCTGGAGCCTAGATGAAAGGTTCAGGGTTGGGTTGAGCCCCATTGCTTTTCTGTGAGAGGTCATAATGCAGGCCTCAAGAAGGGATCCCACACCTTTCCACACCAGGTGCGTTCCTCGCCTGCACACTTCTGTGATGCAGTGCCTTTTGCTAACACCCTAAGGGTCCATGTGCCCAAATAGTATATACATAGGCCTTAAAGTAGTCCCTATATAGGTACTTTGGGGCCAAAGTATATACTATTTGGGTACATGGACCCTTAGGGACAGTCATTGATGTTTGCGACTTGCCGGGCTGAACCGCCGTCCGGATAAGGGCTCCTCAACCTAAAGCCCAGAGCCCACGCCAGGAGTGCAAGGTGGACTCTTTTTCACGCGCCCTGCTTGCAACTGATTTGTCACCATGTTGGTAGCCTTAGCCTTCTTCGGATGCCATCTATAGCGTATGCATCTAGATACACCCATATTTTGCAGTTCTTGTTGCAGGAGTACTGACATGTTTATGTATTCGCTTATTGGCGCATATTCGTTTATGCGGGTTTTGTTTACTTCGTCGTTGGGTTCATTGGTTTACTGATTCATTTGCGTTTGTGCGTCTATGGTTGCTTGCTTTAGTACGTTATTGATGTGCTTGTTTCTTTGCTGTGTACAATAACTTTTGCTCAATTATATAATCATGCATGTTCGGGTTTTTGCAATGTAAAAATAGATGAACGGATGAATTAGTCCGCATCCCAGTCAATAGACAGAGAGGAAACTTAAACATGCAGATATGTATGTATCTGTCTATCTATCTATCTATCTATGTATCTATCTATCTACCTATCTATCTACCTATCTACCCATCTACCTAGCT